TATAATTTATGTTCTTGAATAATAGAAACATCAAAACTTTTATTATTGATAAAAAATTAGGAAAAACAAAAGAAACATTAATTATATATGCAATCTATCTTAGTTTTTTGATGATATGGATTTTAATTATTAATACTCTTTTCTTTATAGAGATATTCAATAATTACTTTTTATCAATTAATTCATTAAATCAAATACCATTTACATTAAATATAAAATGAAGTTGAATTCAATTTTATTGATATTATCAATTTATTATTACCTTTTTCTTTATACTTATTTATCTCTTTTTTTTTTAAATTCCCCTTAACTCCATAGAGATACCACGATATTTAAATAAAAATAATAATTACATGAAACAAAAGAGATTTAAGAAGAATAATCAATATTATAGAGGAAATAACAAATACCAAAAAGATTTAACACAAATGAGATAGTTCATGGCTATGACCATTTTGAAAATAGACATGGTACAATGATAGGAACATAATTATCTCAAAACTACTATTATCATAATAGAAGATATAAACAATAACATTACAATAACAATAACAATCAAAACAGAAAATACAGAGGTAAGAGATACTATAAGAAAGAGAAAAGAAAATAATAATAAAAGAAAGGATGAAAAGAATTGAAGATATTGAAAAGTTAGTAACACCAATAAAAAGAAAACAGGAAATGAAGATGAAGAGAAAGAAATACTAATTGAAAATGAAGAAAAGAGAGGAGAAATAATACAAGAAGAAGTTAAAGAAATAGACGAAGAAATAAAAGAAAATAATAAGAAAGAACGTTAATAAGAAAGAGTTTGAAGATAAAATAAAAGAAATCGAAAAATTAAGAAAAGAAGATGTTGATAAAAGAAAAGATGAAAGGAAGAAAACAAGAAGAAAGACAAAGAAATAACAAGAATAAAAAGCATACAAAGATGGAAATAATGAAAAAGAAGAAAATGTAAGGACACTGAAATGAAATCGAGAGAAAGAAAAAACAAGAAAAAGAAATAAAAGAAACAAAGAAAAATAAATTTAGAAAAAGAAATAAAGAAATAATAGAAGAAAATAAAACAATAAAATAGAAAAGAATTACAATAACATTAGAAGATATTAAAAATGTAATAACTACAATATCATCATTGAAAGTACCATGTATTGACACAATACAAGGATATTATTTGACAAAAATTTAGAAAGTATTAGAAATAAATTAAATAATATATTCAATGAATTGATAGAAATACTAGAAACAATCAAATTAGAAATGTTAACAGGAAGAACTATTTTAATATATAAATGATGAGATAATAAAAATGCAGAGAATTATAAATTAATTACTTGTTTAAATATAAATATGAAAATATTCACATCAATTATAAAAAAGAAGATAGAAGAATAACTAATACAAAATGACAATAAATTTTAAATTAACAAAAATCAATATTTGAATAAAAAAGTTTATCAGATAAAGAATGAAATATTAATAGTTTAATATAAATGAAAGAGAAATACAAAATAAAAGATATTTAGATACATTTTATGATATTAAAAAAAGATTATGATACTGTAAATCATAAATGACTATAAATTACATTAAGATACTTCAAAGTACTATTTTAAATAACACAAATAATAAAAAGTATGAGTGAAAGATGAAGAATAAAAATATAAAAATAAATATAAATATAAAGAAGAAATAAAAGAATTTAAAATAAAAAATTGTAATGTACAATGTGACTCACTATCTCATCTTTTATTTATATTACAAATGAATATGATCTGTGATATGATTGATAAAATAAATGAAAAATGATTAAAAGTAACACATATATTATATATTGGTGATGTTAAATTAACTAATGAAACAAAAAAAGGAATGGAAATAACAAATCAGAAAATAAATAATACAATTGAATCAATATTGAAATAAACATAAATAAATGTGGAGCATTAAAGAAATATAAGTATTCCATATAACATGAATAATATACCATTAGTAGATGAAAAACATACATATAAATATTTAAGAGTTTATCAATTTATAAGAAATGATGAATCAGGATGTATAGAGAAAATAATTAAAAAAAAATAAAAAAATAAAAAAATAAACTAAATTGAACTAAATAATATAGCAACTCAGTAATGTTACTAATATTCGTTGCTTTTGCTCATATAGTTTGTGTGATAGTTTTAAGTTTTATGGTAATGAATTATAGTTCAGAAAAATCTTATATATTAAATACCTCACCACTGAATTATTCTCATCAAAACATAACAATAACAGGATTTAATCTTACGGGACTAAATTATGAGAATGAGTGTGGAGACATCTTTAAATACCCAAAAGCCACAGAACGTGACGTGATATTATTTTCATATGGACACTCAAGAAAATGGAAACGCAATAAGAAAAGTATGAGATTTGCCTTTTCTTTAGTAAGAAAAGTATTACCTAAGGTTACGTTAGTAATGTTGACAGTGGGAAAAGTACCACCAGATTTTATACAATTAATGAATGAGTTCAATGTGACTATTGTCCCATCCCCAAAACAATTCTTAAAAGGATGGAATTGTGTTAATGCAAGAATTCCATTGAGTTTAGAATATCTTAAACAACACAAAAATGACATTGATCGAGTTGCATGGTCAGACACTCGTGATGTTTTTTATTTTAATGACATTTTTGCAACAGTAGGGATGAATGATTTAGTATGGATGAGTGAATGCGTTTCACCAACTGACTGTTTTAGGCATTCAACAACAGGGCAAAAGTTACATTTTTATTGGATGTGGTGGTTTTATGGAAGAGACGAAGCACTCAAACTAACACAGTACAACACCCCCACTTTGAATGGAGGATTTGGGATTGGAGGTGTATCAAGAATGATTCAGTTATTAACAAAATTAACTCAAGAAATGGATCCTAAATTTACTTTTCAATGGGGATATGACCAAACGCTATTGAACTATCTTTATTATAAAGGTGAATTAATAGACATTGGTTTAGGTGTTGATAGATGTACACAAAGAATGTGCTTTGCCAATAAGTTAAATATTATTGGATATGGAAAACACACAACCTTTTCTATGAAGGGGTCTTCTTGTGCACCAGTTTTACTTCACAAAGGACTGCCGTCTCGGTTGATGGAAATGACCATAACTTATAGATAGGTAAATAAGCTCATATGATAAAAGAAATTCATAACAATTTTATTTCTTCTTACAACAAAAAACGCTTTAATTTTTAATTTATTTTTTTGTTATTTTATTTCTATATTTATATTATTAATAACAATTTTTATTTCTATTTTTGTTTTTTTTTAAGATTTTTATTTTATTGAAAATAACAAATTCTATATTATAGTAAATATTTTATTATTCTTTTTTCTTTTTATTATCTTATATTCGTATCTACTTCCCTTATTGTTCATTTTAATTCTATTTTCATATATTTTTTATTTTATTATTTAAATCATTAGGATTCGAAGGTAGCACGTCAAAGACACCACACAAAACCCTAAAATATTTCCATCCCTCGATTCCCCCAGTTATGGACTGGTTATGACGTTGCGTTTGGTTAGAAAAACATCTTACCCAGTACTGCAAGAATAGCAGTGTTTATTATGTACAGTGACAGAATATCATTGACAATAAACGAATGGGTATTTATAAAGATGTTATTATTACTTGTTAGAATACAAGTATAATTGATAATATAAGAAAGATTATCAAAAGAAAAGGGTCAAGTGGATGAGGCTAAAAGAATATTAGCCCAAAGCAATACAATGGTAATTATATACTCTCCTTAAAATAAGAAAATAAAAAGAAGAAGTCTAAACCCAATGAAGAAGAAATTTAAACCCATCAAAATTAAAAAGAAATTAAATAATGAATATTTAAATAAGGGATGTTTAAATACTCTATTCCACATCAAAAATGAGAAAAGAAAATTCTCACCGTTCAACAACTAAAAGCAAAGAATAAGCCAATAGTTGAAGAACAAATACTTTTAAGCGAAGGGACGGGATTAGTAGTCTCCCCTGAGCAAGGAACAATAGAAAATATTTCTATTAATACTTAATTAACTACTTTTTATTTAAATCATTTGATATTAAAATTGATGTAAAATATTGAAAGTGATGCCTTTTTTAATTATCTTATTTTTCATTATTTATACATATCAGATTTTATTTATTCTTTAGTAATAATTTATTCATATAGTTAAACAATTTTTACTATTTATATTTGATGTTATATAGTTATGTTAATAAGATATAATACTTAGACTATTTATTTTTATTCTATTTTATAAAAAACTTTATTGCTTGGTTAGAGTAACAAAATAAAAATAAGATTAAGAAGGGATTATAATCTCAATAATTAAATCACCAAATAAATCATTACCCTCTATTAAAAACATTGACAATACAATAACATGTGAATATTTTAAGATAATTAATAATGGTAATATTTCTTATAATTTTTTTAAATGAACAAATGGTTTCTCTTCTTTCTAATGTTAATAACTTGTTTAAAAATATAACGTAATGCACTTACTCTATTTCTTTGTTTTGATAAATTTATGAAATTATAATAAAGAAGGAGATTTTATTATGAATTTATTTTGAAGATAATGAAGATTAAACAAAAATGATGAGTTGTTTTATTTTAATAATATAATTAACCATTTACAACAGTAGAATGTATTAGAGTGTTGTTAATGGTGAAACAAGAATAAGTAAGTTTCACATAAAAAGCTCAAGGTATTGTTAGGTGTCCAAAAATTATAAATAATAAGTCTAGTGGAAGATGTAAGCTGACAACTCTATGAAAACGGATAAAAGAAGTTCCCAAAGAAGTGGAGTCCAGGCTGTGGTTAGCCTCATTAAATTAAATAAAAAAAATATTTCACAAAAACAAATATCTCTTTATAACATTGTCTCTATCTTTAATTGAAAAATATCAAAAAATTTAACTTTAATTTTTTTCTTTAATAATACACAAAAAGAAAGAAATTTAAAGGATTGAAAAGATATTTTCTTCATTTATCTAACGGTTCCATCAACAACTTCATCAACAGTTACTGTAAGCTCAGTGTCTTTAACAATAAGTGGAACGTCATTAGTTCTAACTAATCCCTCTTTTAATGAAAGGTTCATCTTTCCAACAACATCAATTGAAATCTTCTTAGTAGAAATAGTAACTTTACCCTCTTTTGGAATCACTTGTGTTCCAATAGCAGCATCAGCACTTGGATGACAGAATTTAACTTTAGTACCATCAAGTGAAGTGGCAGCAAGAATCATAGCTTCTGACGCAACACCTCTTAGCTTAGATGGTTTTAAGTTACATACAAAAGTAGCTCTTTGATTTAATAATTCTTCTGGTTTATAATGCTCAGCAAGTCCAGCAACAACACTTCTTGGTTTTTCTTCACCAACATCAACTTTAAGAGCAAGAAGATGTTCACTATTTGGGTGTGGTCCAGCTTCAACAATTTTACCAACTCTAATTTCTAATTGGAATCCGTCAAGAACTTCTTTGACATTATTTTGTTTTCCATTTCCTTTAGCCTTACTTTTAGTTGTTGTGGTAGTACATGAAACACCTTGTTTTCCACTAAACTTTGTTCTTAATTCTTCGATCTGTTCTTTTGAAATCATTTTGAAGATAACTTCTACCTTTCCTAACATAGTCTCTCCTTCAAGAAGAAGTCCAAAATCATTTGGTAATGGAATGGCTGGTAAATTCATTTGTTCTCTAACCTTCTTACCAAATTCTGGTATATATGGGTCAAGTACAAGTGAGACAAAATAAAGGATATTCAATGCATAATAAATTTCATCAGCAGCCCGTTCTTTGTCACTTTTAATTGTTTTCCATGCAGCAGTGTCTTGGAGATATTTATTACCAACAGATGAAATAGACATGGCAATTTTTAATCCTTCTTTTAATTTAACATTTTCCATTGCATTGAGATATTCTTTATATAATTCTTTAATTTCTTTTTCACAATTTAATTCAACCTCTGTAATTTTATTAATCTTCTTTGGTATTTTATTGTCAAAATTCTTTACAGCAAATGTTAATGTTCTTTGAGCAAGATTTCCAATATTCTTTAATAACTCATTATTATTTTTCTCCATAAGATCATTCCACAAAAATACTGTGTCAGATTGTTCTGGTCGATTAATGAGAAGATAGTATCTCCATACTTCTGGTGGGATTCCAGTTTTCATAGCATCATCTCCAAATACTCCTGTTCCATTTGATTTTGAGAACTTACAATCTTCATAATTTAAGTATTCAGTAGTTGCAAGTTTTCTTACCATAGTCCATGGTTGTCCAGTTCCAAGAAGTGTTGATGGGAATAAGACACTGTGGAATACAATATTATCTTTTCCAAGGAATTGAGTTAATTCAACATGTTCATTATCCATCCACCATTTCTTCCAATCATCGGTATAATTAGCAGTAATAGAAAGATATCCAATTGGTGCATCAAACCAAACATAAAATACTTTATTTTCAAATCCTTCTAATGGTACTTTAGTTCCCCATTTAAGATCTCTTGTAATACATCTTCCTTTTAAATTATTTAACCATGTTTTTGTAGCACATGCACAGTTATTTGGCCATTCATATTTACTCATTGTTTCATTTGCCCAATTTCCTAATTTGTCTTGAAGTTTTGGAAGATCAATAAAAAGATGTTCTGAACTTCTTCTTACTGGAACAGAATGACAAACCTTACATTGTGGATTAATTAGTTCAACAGTATTAATTAATTTTTGGCAACTATCACATTGGTCTCCACGAGCACCAGGAGCATTACAAAATGGACATATTCCTTCAACAAATCTATCAGCTAAAAATTTATCACATTTTTCACAATAAAATTGTTCTACTGATTCTTTATAAATATAGCCATTATTATTTAAATGTTTAAAAATGTCTTGTGTAATTTCAGTTTGTTTCTCAGTTGATGTTCTTCCAAAGTAATTAAATGAAATATCAAACCAATCATATACTTCTTTGTGAAGGGTATAATACTTATCACAAATTTCTTGTGGTGTACAATGTTCTAATAACGCTTTTTGTTCTGTTGTTGTTCCATACTCATCAGTTCCACAAACATATAAAGTGTTGTATCCTCTCATTCGGCAGTATCTTGCATAAACATCAGCAGATAAAACACAACCAATTAATGTACCAAGATGAGGTACATTATTACAATATGGTAATGCACTAGTAATAAGAATGTTTCTTTCACCAACCACTGGTGTTGGTTTCTTTTCACAACTCATATCAAATCTTGTTATTTTTTTAAAGTTTTCCTTTTAGGGTTTTCTTCTTCTTTTTTCTTCAAATTTTCATAAATCCATTACTCAGAACAAAATAAAAAGTTTTTCATATGATATAGAACAAATTTATCTAATTCCAAAATGATTATAAAAAAGTAATTGAAATTATTAAAAATGACATCCATAAACCAGAAAAATGAAGTTTAACTTTTCTTATTTATTCAGGGTTTTTAACACTTAAGAAGATACACTATTTTTTGTTTTAAAGGAATTACTTTATAAATCATTTTATAATTCTTTTATTTCAAACAACATCCCTATGTCATCACCTTCATTACTTTTCATTAAAATTCTATTGTATATGACAAATAATTTTTCATCTATTTGTGAATTAACAACCTTATATTTTTGGTGTTAATAGATTATTAAGGATTACTTTTTATTCTCTTATTAAAACAGAAATATAAACAATTAAGTATTAAGGAAATTTCTTGTGTGTAATGCTAACTTAATGTAAATAAGTTTAGATAAGTCTTTTTGTCCCTCTTTATTATCAGGTATAAAACATTAGATTATCATAGACTCTAATCTTTCAACATTAAGTTTATAATGCATACAATCAATTATTTTCTAGTACCTTATAAGTATGTTAAATTTGTGTAAGGTGTTAGCGAATTTACTTTAGAATAAATAAACAAAATAATGTTATAAGACTTATTTCATTTAAAAAACAATAGACAATTTCTTTTAATGGTAGTTTATATGATTAAATGTAATACGTTTAAGAACCAGTCTGAGGCAGGATTGTTTATTCTGGATGATATGTGAAAAAGAATAACAAGCTATGATAAGATTTATGACAAAACCTAAAAAGATAAAAAAAATTTTAATATAGAAACAAAAAAAATATAAAATTTTATTATTTAAAAAAGCAATAACATTTAAAATTTGTTTATTGTTATTTTCCCAAACCAGATTTTAAAGCATTGACTTCATTTTGGGCTTTAAATAAAGCAGCTTTGTATTTGTGATGAGCGGTTTGAAGTTTATTAAATTCTTCTACCAATTGGTCATGTTGAGACATAACACGGCTAAGTTCATTTTCTTTTTTTATTTTTTCTTTATCTATAGCTGCAATTTTAAGATTAAATTTATTGGCCAATTGTTGTTGTTGAATTTGGGTGGCTTGAATTTGTTGGTCTAAAAGATTAATTTTTCTTTGTAATTCTTCTAAATGATTTTTTAAATTTTCTTGAGTCCGAAGAAGTTCACTGAATTCTTTAGTAAGTCCAGAGTATTTGATTTTTTCTTTTTGAAGTTCTTCATTAATTGAAAATGTTTCTTGATTAGAATTATTGTATTTTTCCGTAAATGCTTTATCAATCATTGGCTGACGTTTTATAAATTCTTCTTCAAAGTGACGTTTAATTTCTTGGTTCATGGTTTGTTGAAAGCAATGAACCATTTGTGTTAATGTTGTTTTATCCTATTTTTCAATTTTTTTGTTATTTTATCTCTTAAATGTTTTATATAACAAACCACTATCATATTAAAGTCTTCAGGTGCTGAAGCTAGTTGAATCCACATTTTATAATTTGAAGTATCTACTTCTGTTGTGCTGATAGTTTCTAAAGTCATTTAAATTATTTTGTAGTTTTATATTTTAATATTTTCTTTTTTTTAAAATGAAGTACAATCATATTTTAAACTTCTGAAATTAATCAAATTAATATAAAATAAATAAAGAATGTCAAATTTTCATTGTCATTTTTTTATTTGTTAATCCATTCTTTTCATTTTTAATTATTAGTATTTATATTTCATTTATGAAATAACTTAACAAAAACTACTTGAATTTTTTTTAAGGTAACCTTTTCTATATCTCTTTTTTTCATTCTTTTCATTTATGATAGCATTTTCCATTTAATATTCTTAGTTTTTTACTGGGTATATTTCTTTTTATAAATCTATGACTTATTAGTTAAAACTTATTATCAATAATTTTTTTTGGTATGTTTTTATTGATACGATATTATTATATTGGAAGGTATTATTATTTCATATTAATAATTGGTTTGAAGAATTAATAATTGTTTTAGGTTATTTATTTTTAAAGTATTTTGAATTACAAGTATAATGCTCCCAATAATTTACTGAAAAGATAAATTTGATTCTTCTTATTAATTAGAATAGAATAATAAATGTTATAAATGGCATTTTTTATAAATTATTTTAACAAAAATAAAAAAAAGAAAAACCATTTTTTTTTGTTCAAAACAAAAAACTTGGAAAAACTGAACAATCTGAAAAAAACTTAAAGAAGAATGGAATCAATTGAGAGACTTATCAAAACTATTCCTGTTTGTTAAATTAATAAACAATTAATAAACATAAACATGAAAGACCAATGAGATTAAATATATAGTATGGAGATATACCACCACCATTTAATAATCAATTCAATAAAGTTAATACCGAGTTCGTAGAACAAGTTCATAGCATCCCTATAAAAGAAGGATTTGAGAATCACATCATGTCAAAGCTTGATTACACAGACCCAACTTTAGATTTCTATAATTTTAATGATGAAGCTCATATTTGTAAAGGCTTCACAATACAAACTATTTCTAATTATCCTATCATTGAAAAAGATGGTGTAAAACATAGGGACGGTGATCCTGTTGCTGACGCATATGGGTTTTATAGGTGTCGTAATTTTCTTATTTATTCTGTTAATGATGGATGTGGATGGGGAGTAGAACCTAGTTATGTTGCTAGAGTAGCATCAGCAACATTTGTATTATTTATGAAGAATGAATTAGAAAAGGATGTATTTAGAACAACAGAAGAAATACAAGAATTATGTAGAATTGGTTTAGCTTTAGCACATCAAACAATTATTCAACTCGAATTACCAGAAGGAAAAATTGGAGGAACATGTACAACATGTTGTGGAGTTATAGTACCAATTATTGATAATGAAGAATTAAAGAAAAAAGGAATAAGTTCTAATCAATTTGAAGGTGTTCATCAAGAAGGATCAAAAGTACAACAAGAGGTAAAAGAATATTTTAAAAGTATAACATTAAAAAGTAAAGTTCTAGAGAAGTATCAATTAATTGGTTTAAGTGTTGGAGATTGTAAAACATTTTTTATAAAGAATAAACAAAATGAATGGATAACAGAAGATTTAACATATGGAAGTAGATTACATGCCATTGGATCAAATGATCCAGGAGGAAGAATTGGTATTCAGGGAACAAATAAAAGGATGGATATTAGAAATGCAATGATTTATCATAAAATTCTAAATTGGAATGATATTATTATGGTTTGTTCAGATGGAATCCATGATAATCTTGAACCACAGACAAGAGGATTTAGTCCTAATGAAGTTCAACCAGAATTAGGAGATGTTAAATGGTTTAAATTAAAGAAAGAACAATTAGAAGAAATTAATAGAAGTTATTCATTAAAATTTATTTCTGAAGTTGCTTCACATGCTGTAAGTGTTCATCAATTTCATAAAATGATGATGGATGCAATTATTGGAGTTATTGTTGATAGAAAAAAATATATGGAAGATCACCCAGATAGTGCAGTACCAAATGTATTAACTGGTAAATTAGATCATGCTACTTTGTTACTTGCACGACCAACATTTTAAATATAAGGTTTTTGTTAAGAGTTTTTAAAAAATCAAAAAAGATATAATTTTTTTGTTATAGTATTATTTTTGTTATTTCAAAGAAAGGAAAAAAGAGAAATAAAAAACTTAAAAAAAAACAAAAGAATGACATGTATTACTAATGAGTGGTTAAATCAGGAAAAAAATGAATGTTTATTAGCAATAAAAAGAGGAGATGGAATGGAAAGTTTTGTTCATCTGACAAACATAATTCAAGCAAGTGATACTAATTATTCATTAAATTATTATAATACATTATCATCAATAGTATTTACATTTATATCAAAAAAGAATGACAAAACAAATAGTAACATTCAATTACAAATTAAGTGGCTAAGAAAATTTTTTATACAAGAGATAATTAAATTAATTGAAAAGTCATCATCGGAAAATCAACGATCATTTTTGTTATCAATTAAAATATTAATTATTTTGTTAAAAAATACATCAACAAGTGAAGATTCAATCTCACTAATTCATTTATGGGAAAGTATTATTCAATGTTTTAAAGTAAGAAAAAATTCTGAATTTCTCATACTTGTAGCAAATTCACTTTCAGAACTTTATAAATTATCAATTGGAATACCAGGAATTGACAGTGTTATGCTTAATGTATCATTTGAATCAATGATAACAATGACAAGTTCACAAGAAAGGTCAGCATCTGTACAATTTTTTAGAGTAATTTCAAGATATAATAGAAAACAATTTACAAATGCACTAGCAATAGCAATGATAATTATTGAACCGATAATAAAAAATACAATAATAGAACCAATTTATTTAAAAGAATATATGAATGGAATTATTGAAGTATTAAATAATATTGAAATATATGGAAAAGAATATAATTTTAAAGGAATAGATGTTGATGGTGTTGTTTTATTTTTTATAGAATTATTAAAAGAAACACCAAATATATATACGACATTTAATTATTCATTATTAATACTAATTGTTTCATTTATTGGATTTGGAATAGTTCAATCAAAAACAGATTCATTAGAATTATTAACGTCATATATTTTAATTGAAGTTGATGATAGAAATAAACAAATAGATAATTATTTAGAAAATATTATTCAAAACATTATTAAACGATTTTCCTTTTCTTCATCAAATCAAATTACAATTAATGCATTGATTAAATTAATTTCTTCTTTAATAAAAACACGTTGTAATATTTATATTCATTTAGTAAATAATAATATAATGGAAGAATTTTATTCATACATTTATTTAAATATTAATTCTGATATTAGAAAACCTGAAGAATTACATTTTCTTTCTTGTCTTATTTGTGCAGGACATATAGAAAAAGAAAAATTATGGTTTGAAAATGAATTAAAAAAATGGGGAGGAATTGAATTTCTTGTTTCATTATTTATTATTGAATCACAAAATAATAAAAATTCACAAAACGCTTTTATTTCATTAGGAGAATCAATTAATTATTTAATTGAAAGTAATATAAATAATATTCTATTATTAAAGAAAGTAATATATTCATTTCTTTCATTTCCAATGACTTTAAATTCAAGAATTAAATGTAGTTATCTTAAAGAATGTACTAAAATTAAATGGAAACAATGTATTATTTTTGATAATTATCATAGATTATTACCTACCTTACCTTTACATTTAATGTTAGAAAGAGTTCTTTCTAGTTTTATTATTGATCCTGATGAATTAGTAAGAAAAATTGCCTATGAAACATTTACAGAAGTAAATGTTACTATTTTAAATATTTCTATTAATGAATTTCTTCTTAAATTATTTTCTCAAACAATTCTTCAAATTCATCCTTTATTTCGTTTAACTTCAATTCAAACATTTGCTATTTTATTAAAAAAAATAACTCATACTCCAGTTATTCCATTTGTATTATCAAGATTACCAAATCCATTAGAAAATATTTCAGAAAGGTTATTAAGAATTACGTTAGATGATGGACTAAATTTATTAAATGCATCACTAAGTATGTATGGTAAAATTGGAAATCTTTCTATTGTAAATGGACTAATTTCTTTTTGTGAAATTGTTCAATGTATTACAAGAAGTCAACAAAAAGTTATTTCTTCTTCAAGAATTAAATGTTATTTATTTGTTAAAAATTTACTTCGTTGTATTATTGAAGTTCTTGGAATTCAAATGAACTCAACCCAATTGGCTGTTCAAAAAAAGCATTTAGAAGAAATAAAATCCCCACTTTTAAATTCATTAATAAATTATCTTGTTTCAATTGAATTACGTTCTGGTAATTTAGAATCACCAATAATAATATTAACCCAAAAAATAATACTTTCACTTGCATCTATTGTTCGTTCTATTGGGCTAAATGGATGGGAAGTAATAGAATTATGCAATTATTTAAGAATATTACATGATGTATGTCCATTAGAAATAATATTATTATTAAGAGAAATATTACAAAGTCAATTAACAATTTATTCAGTTAACTTTAATTTATTTCAATCAATTTCTCCTTTATTTATGCAATGGGATTATTGGATATTACCAGAAACTAAAATTGAATTTGTTGGTGAAAGAAGAGCTTGGGCAGAAATTAATGATACGTCTATATTATTAATTGAAGAACTTGTTAATAATGAATCAATTGATTATAACCTTCGATGTAGTATATTAAATTATGGATACTTATTTGTTAGAATTGGGAATTCTATTGGAGCACCAGTAATTGGAGAAAGTATTAGATTAACTTTAACTACAGGGAATACAGATTATGAAATATTATATCACAATTTACAAAAACAATTACAATTTGATAATTCTCATCTTGATAATATTTCTACTTTATTTCCTAATATTTATTTTCCTTCTTTTGTATTACTTCCTCCTTTAAATCAATCATTAAATTATAATATTTTAATTAAAGAATTAACGACATTAAAATTTATGATTATTAATAAACCTTTAAATCCTCAATTTCATCTTCAAACGTTATTACAAATTACTCATCATTGTATTGTTTTACATTCTATTGTATTAAACAAATCAACTATTAAAATAATTTCTAAATTATCTCAAATACTTAATGATAAATTAATTCAAAAAATTTTATCTTCAAATCAAAGTATTTTAATTGGTGCTCAAATAGGTTATCGTCAAATATTAACACTCATTGAATCTAATAAATCTATTGCAAATAAAAATTCTTTTATTAAAGAAATTCAGAGTCATGTTGATTTATTAACTGCATTTCATATGGCATTTGAATTATTAATGAGTGTTCTTAAAGATTCATTTGTTCATGGAATATATTCATATGAAAGTATTAAATTATTTATTGATTGTGTATTACCAATGTATTGGAGTATTCGTTCAAGTAGAAATACTCACCTATTCTTTTTAAAACCATTAGTTCCAATTCAGTTAACAGAAATATTTATTGAACAAGCTTCAATTATTGTTCAATTTCCAAGAATGTATAGAACAACTGCTTTTTCTAAATTATTTGAAAATGTTTATTTATGTTCATCAGGAGTTGTAAACCATTTAGAAGTATTTAACAGAATAAAAGATAATAAAAAATATTCATTTTTAATTAATTTAATGAAAGAAGCAAATTGGTCAAAAGATATTCAATCAAAACACAATGAAATCATATGTAAAAAAATAAATGATATTGACAAATTAATTAACAAAATTCAATTAGGTTCTAAAGAATTATTTGTGTTTTTAATTAATTTAAAAATACCTTTATCTATGAAAGTTTATGAAAAATTAGCTTTCTTTGCTTCTCGTCCTAAAATTTATTCTTCTCTTAAAGATTCTTTTCCTAATTTTCCTCAAAGAGATTATTATTTATTATTTGATTATTTTAGTTCATTCTCTCAACCTATTGGAAATAAGTATAATGACTTAGATGATTCTTCTTTTACTTTATCTAATTTTATTTCTAATTATTCTCAACTTATTAGCGATATTCCTTTTCTTAGAGATACTGCTTTTATGTCTTGTGCTTCTATTGCCTCTATTCAAGAAATTGCAGAAGATAAAAAAGAAGAAAACATTGAAAAACAAATTGAAGAAGATGAAATAAAAATAAAAAAGCAAATTCTTTTAAAAGAAAGAAAAGATGAAAATAATAATATTGAACGATTATTTACGTTATTATATTCGAGAATTGATACTCGTTATTATTCATTAACTAAAAACTTAAAAATGCCTTATATTATTTTATTTCGTTTAAAACAAAAATTAACTTCTTTATTATTACATTATATTTATTTATTACCAATATATAAAAATAATAATTTAACTTCTATTCTTAATGAAAAACAATTACTTATGACAACATTCTGGCAATATAGAACTCCTCCTGTCAATTCTATTCATGAAGTTCTTACTTCTTTAAATACTTTAGCAAGAGAATTACCTATACCTTCATCTGATTTAAATCAAATTTGTGATGAACTTTTAACTGGATTCCTTTCCAATAAACAACCACTCTATTTAACGATTATTCTTTCTTTATTATCTCATTACGATAATGTTATTTCTGTTGGGATAGAACAACCAAGATGTGTGTTAACTTGGGGTCAATTACCTATCACTTCTCATTGGGGAACAATTAGTGACTCTTTAATTAAACATACCCAATCATCACTTTTTCAAATTGACTCATTTGGAGATGTATCGTTTAATCAATCAATATTACCGATACTCCAATCTGATGAAAAAATTAGAGAATTTATTAAATTCCTTATTTTTTTTCAACCTCATTTTAATATCAAACAACAAAAGTTATTAATATCTTTTTATGCTAAAATGCAAAAACAACAATCTTCCATTCAAATTTTAATAAATTATGCTTATTTCTCTTTATTATTACTTCATCCTGTTTGGGATAAATCTTTATTTAAAATAGATACCAAAATTCAATGTATTGGAATTATTTTGGCATTCAGTCATAATATCCCTTCTTTATTAGAAAATTATTCTTTATTATCTCCTATTGTTTCTGCTTCTTTAGAAATTATTTTTGATTGTCATATAGAAGATATTCTTCTAACAATTGATGTTATCAATCCTCCTTTTAAAATGTCTTGGAGAATTGCAATTACTTTTTTAGTTTCTTTATTCGATGCAATAACAGAAGATGATAAACAAGTTCTTATTGCTATCTTTGGAAAAAACATTTTTCCAAAAGACATTATTTCTCAAAGAATGTTCATAGTCAAAATAAAACAAACAATCTTTGAAAAGCTCACTTTTATTCCATCGTTTAATAGTTAAACTTTGTTTGTTTTTCATTTTTGGTTTATTTTTTTTTAAATTAATTATATTTTTTTATTATACTTATTTCACCTAATCTATTTTGATAATTTATAAAAACTTTATTATTATCTCTAAAAAATTAAATCATTTCAATATAACCAATTCTTCTAAATACTGCATATAACTAAAATTAAAATTGTATTGATTTCTTTTGATAACTTTTTAACAAAAAGTAAATCCACTATTATGATATTTGTTCTTATTTTTTTTTGATTAACAAACATTGAATTTATACAATAATTTAATAATAAGAATTTGATTTTGCAATATTGAAACTTGTTATATTGTTAAATTTAGAATATAATAATATTATATAATCTAATTATTTCAATTGATCTATTTTTATGAATATTATCTTAATTTTAACCTGTTATTTTATTTATACATAATACTAATAATAAGTTATTCAAAATTAAAAAACTTTATTTTATTAATTTAATAATTAACATCATTATAAACTTTATCGGACTTTGTAAAAATTTTTTTTCTGATTTATTATTACTAAATGATATTTGTTTTTTGATATATCTTTTTTAAATTTCCTTTTTGCTTAGTAACTCTATCATTAGTTATATTTAAATCACTGATGTTATTTTTTTAACAAAATGATAACTTAATATCAGATATTTAGTTCAATTAAAAATCTTTTATTTTTTTCAAATAAAAATTATTTTAAACATCATTTAATTTATCTTACTAAAAATAAACAAAACATTTTTAAAATTTATTAATAATATTTTTATCCTTTTCATTAAATAGTATTAACTTATTCTTTAATTCTTCATATTTTCTTTTCTTCAATAAACTGTTTTTAGCAATGAGTAAATAATGGCTTTGGTCATAACAATTATGCAACCATCATTCTTCTTCAAAAAAAAACTAAAAGGTAAACTTTTTTTATTATATTACATGTTTATTCTATTCATTATTTAACTTGTATTGCTTTTATTTTAAAGAAAACAGAAAAGAACAGAGCTAGAAAAATCTTGTAATGAACAAAAGACTAATTTTTGACTAAATATTCAACATAAAAAAGCCACGTAGTTCATACAGTACAAAAAGGAAACCCTGTCATAAAATGAAAACCCTTAAAAAAAAAGATAAAGAGGATTAATGTCAGTGAGAGAAACCGGTTATTATGATTCTCTTGGAATTAAACCAACAGCCAGCGATGAAGAAATTAAGAAAGCGTATAGAAAATTAGCAATAAAGTATCACCCAGATAAAAACCCAGGAGATAAAAATGCTGAAGAAAAATTTAAAGAAATTACAGAAGCGTATGCAGTTCTTTCTGACCATCAAAAGAGAGAAATGTATGATAAGTATGGAAAGAAAGGACTTGAAGAAGGAGGAATGGGAGGATTTGATATGAATGATATTTTATCACAATTCTTTGGTGGAGGATTCGGAGGATTTGGTGGAGGATTTGGTGGAGGATTTGGTGGATTTGAAAGAAAGTCTTCTGGTCCAAGAAAAGGTAAATCAATTCAAGTCTCATTAAACTGTACTTTAGAAGATTTATATAATGGAAAAACTTTTAAAAGAAAGATTACACATGATATTATTTGTAAAGCATGTTCTGGAAATGGAACTAAATCAGGGGCTAAGGCACAGACATGCAACACTTGTAAAGGAAATGGATTTAGAGTTGTTCGTGTCCAACAAGGTTTTTGCATTATGCAAAGTCAAGAAGTTTGTCCTAAATGTAAAGGAAAAGGGGTTGTTGTTAATGAAAAAGATTTATGTAAAATGTGTCATGGAGATAAAGTTGTAAGTGAAGAAAAAATACTTGAAGTTATTGTTCAGCCAGGAACTAAAGACAAAGAAACAATTGTCTTTCCAGGAGAGTCTGATCAAGCACCAGGTATAATTGCAGGAGATGTCATATTTGTAATTCAAACTAAAGAACATTCAATATTTGAACGTAAAGAAAATAATTTGGTTATGAACAAAAAAATTACTTTGAATGAAGCTTTGACTGGTGTTGTTTTCACTGTTAAAACATTAGATGGAAGAGAACTTTTTATTGAAGGAAAAGATGTTATTCAACCAAAAAGTTATATGAAAGTAATTGGTGAAGGTTTTACCATTAAACATCATCCAGAAGAACGTGGTGATTTATATATCTATTTTGAAGTCAAATTCCCTACAACTACTGAAATTAAAAATTCTCTTAATGCGTTAAAGAAAGTACTTCCTTCTGGAAGCACTCCTCCAATGAAAGATGATAAACATACTATTTGTACACTCATTCCATCTTCTGCACCTAGTGAATCTTCTAAAAATAGTTATAGACAACCTCATATGGATGTAGAAGATGATGAAGAAGACCCAAGAGGAGGTGTTCAATGTGCTGCACAATAAAATCATAAATTGACTGTTGCTTCATGTTTAAATATCGTCGTCTTTAGGTCATCATTTTGTTGAGAATTCAAAAGTTAGTATAAAATTGTTTCATTAACTTAATTTATCTCTTTTTAATTTCCTTAATTCAAAAAATCTCTATCATTTTTCATATCGTTTAGTATAACAATAACTGTAAATTAAATGACGTTGGGAATATAAACAAATTAAATAGTCTAACCAAATAAAAAATTAGTTAAATAACTAATGACAAAAATGGTTTCTATTGTTCCTTGTTTTCTTGTCAATAGTGACATCAATTATTTAATGTATGACAGACTAATAGAATATTGTTAGTTGATGTAGAAACAATATTCCATGAAAGTATCATGTTTTAATTATAACGTTTTGGAATTATTTAATCTTTTTATTTATTTTTTTTTATTAATTTAATATCGAGATTCTTTTTATCAATTCAGAATATACATCATATTTTGTTGCAATGCTTATTGAGTAATGTAATAGAATCTTGTAATGAAAATCAAACAACAAACAAGTATTCAAGTCTAAAGAAAAGAATGAATGAAATAACAATAAAATGCATAATAATAATGGTAAAAGAAATAACAAGAGAAAAGTGAATAGAAAAAGAAGAATACAAAGAAAAACAAATAAGAAAGAAAGTAAATATAATGATAATAAACATTATACAAATAACAAATCTAAATTATAACAACAAATAAAATTGAAATAAAAAATAAAAGAATAAGAAGTAAAATGAGAAAGGAGAATAATCAGAAATAAATAAAAAGTATGAAGGTAAAGAAATTGTATAATATTCTCCAAGAAGTATATTCAATAATAAAATAATAAAGAAAAACAAAGAAGAATTCAAATAGGCAATAAAAGAATGGTTAATGATATTAAAACAAATGAAAAATGAATCAAAAACAAAAATCAAAACAAAGAAATAAATAATGTAAAACTGTAAGAATAATAAATGAAAAAGAAAATAAATAAAAACACAAGATAAAGAAGAGAAAAAGGAAGAAGAATATAACAAATAAGAAATGAACATTCTTCAAAATAAAATCAAAGAAATAGAAGAAATTATTAAACAACTTCAAA